TCAGTAAAAACACAACATAAAACAGCACTTTCAAAACTAAAGAAAAAGAGGAAGAGAAGAAAAAAGAAGGAAATGTGACCGTGTAAAATCCTTAATTATTAAAATGATGGCTAAATAAAAAAGGCTTTACCTGGCGCCGGAAAGAGTAGAGAGTTGGCGCCAGGAGGCTCTCTCTGGGGAGCACATTCCAGGAGTTGAAGTCCAGAACATCTGGAAAGCAGGAGGCAGAGGAAGACTGGTCTGCTCTGAATGACAGGAGCTCTCCAGGATCTTAAGCAGTGCTTTCCCTGCTTCTTGTTACCTGTTCTCTTTCGAACTGGAAGTGCCAGAAATTAAACCTTGGACCTTCTACTTGCAAAAGATGCACTGAAATGTGGTCCCTTCCCAGGTCAAGAGCTCTGGGATTAAGCATAAAAACATAACAGCAAAGGGAATATCAGCCATATAGCTCTCTTATGTTTAAATTAGGAATACTGGTCACTCAGACATATACGGTCAGACTTCCAATTCAAATAAGGGTGCTTTCAGAGGAGGCATTTACTGCACAGTTATATTGCCTGGCTCATATAATTTTCTAGGTGCTCATATGAATTTTGCTTACATATGTAGTCCTTTTGTACTTTCCCACTGCTTTTTCCATCTCTTCTCTTCCCAGAAAAAATCCCATTCATGCAGAAAATATGAAATAGCTCCAAAATGCCTTTTGATTGTTAGCACTAGGATTTCCCTATACAGAAGGATCCTATGTACACAATTATACACTACAGTCTTGCTTTGTAATAAGTTGTACTATTGAACACAGAAGAGCATCAGAAAGTCGGAAGGAGTCATTTGTGCCACTGAGTCCAACTCCCTGCTCAGTATGAGAAAGCATCCCTGATAGACTGCTGCTCAATTTTTTGCCTGAGTATCTCCAGTAATGGAGAACCTACTGACTTGGTAGGCAATTGGTTCCATTGTCTGAGTGCTCTAACCATTAGAAAGTTTTTCTTGATGTTCAGCTGAAATCTGATTTCCTGTAACTCAGGTCCATTGCATTATGTCCTACAATCTTGGACAACAGAAAACATGTTGTGGTCCTCTTTAGGTGCTTGAATAATGTTATCATGTTCCTCCTTGATCTTCTCTTCTATGGGAAAAACATCTGTTTTCTTCAGTCTTTTCTTGGAGGGCTTAGTCTTCCAATCATCTTTGTTGTCCTTTCCTGAACCCATTCCAGTTGATTAGAAAGCTTTTTAAATAGTACTTGGACACGGTATTTGAAGTGATGTTTGTTCAGGGAAGTTTTGAGTGAAAATACTGCTGTCTAGGATATTAAGACATGCACCACAATCCTATACATCTTGACTTGAACATAAGTCCTATTAAATTCAATTTGACTTTCTCAAAGGCAACAATACAGTTTATCAAACACACTTCCATGTGTTTACAAGTGAATCCCAATGAACTGAAGCATCTCCTAAAACTGCTTTGCAGCATCTACTACTCAGCAACTACAGCAACTACTCTGGTGCAGAGTAGATCAAGTTTATCACTCCCCATCCTAGCTAAAGTTACTTAATTTATGATGGTCAGAATAGAACAGTCAGGACAGGGGTAAAGAGCACTGTACTGCATATCATTGGTTCAACAATGAAATCTAAATGAGAATTCAGACTACAAAATGTCAGAATGAATGTATGGTGATACAGTTGGCCACGGTTAGTTCACATTCTAAAAGGTCTAGGAACTGCCCAAGCCCGCTGTAGAACATGAAAACCTTGTTACATCTTTACAATGTCTTGGCCCTTGTGACAGTCCAGCTGTTCTGTGCATGTGGCTTACAGGAGTTGGCAAAGCAGTTCTTCACTTTTGTGCTGGGCACAGCTGATCACCAACCTTCTAGAAGGTGAAAGAACTTAGACTTTGTCAGTAGCAAGCGATGGGAAATGGCAGGGTTTGGCTCCCACTGCTGTGCTCAGGAGGGTGCTTCAGCTGCCTCAGCACAAACTGTAGGCGATGTGGCAAATTAGGAACAGGTTCTTGTGGAGAATTTAGCCTGGCCGTATGAAGGATATCCCTATTAAATACATATTTCACTAAACAAATCTGTTTGTGCTGCTAGGCCAACCCCCATCTGAACCTGGCACTTTTCGAACGTTTTGGGCCAAAATTTCCAGCATTCATGATCATTGCTCATGCTGATTTGGATAGATACAGTAAAGTCCAAAACATCTGGACAATAAAAGGTTAGGGGAAAGCCATGCTAGGATGCAGTGCTAGGTGGGTTAGCCACCACTACACCATTATTCTGAATAAGAACTGTGCCTTTAACTTTGAGATCTATCTTAATAGTATTCCCTGCTAAGCAAGGAATAGAACATTGTTCATTTCTTGTCATAAAACACTTGAGCAGAAGAAAAAGAATCAGCTAAGCAAGTTGGAGGGCTTGGATGCAGTCCAGCAAATTATTCATTTAAATCTGGCCTTTTGATTCCACAACTTCTGATTTCTTTCCAAGTAAGAATTACAGCTTTAACTACCATATCCATAATGCTGATATTTAGGGGATGGCTTCAGTTATAAACACTTTTTTTCAAAATTTTCAGAAAAGATAATTTGTTGTCATGCTGTCAACACAGGAAGTTGGCATAAGCAACACATATAACACTGAATGTGCTAGATTACTTAGTTCTGGTTAACGTAAGTGGCTAGTTTTTTTTATCAAATGGGGCCTACGCTTTTACTGCCTACTGAAATAATATTTATCTTATCAATTTAGAAGGGTTTTCCCTCACCTATCCTCACCTCTGGATCTGTTCTGTGATTAAAAAAAATCCCCACCCAATATACTGAAACAGAAGCTATCAGACAAACATTGGAATACAGGTCTGCTAAGGGTATTGCAGGCACGGTGTGTCAGGGGTAGATACCTTGTAGTTCAATCCCTAGCATTTTTTTAAAAAGTGTAATATCAAGTATTGGAAGGACCAGGCTAAACATTACTGTATTTGATCAGCTATGTTACAGTGTGCAGCTAATGTTTGCAATGTGGTGTTTATAGTAATGATTACACCTCTAGACATTCTTTTTATTTGCTTATTTATTTAAAACAGTTATATGCCACCTATCTCACCAATGGCATCCCCAGATGGCTAACAATCACATGATTAAAATTCACTAACAGCAATAAAAACCAAAAACTGCAAACTGAGACAAATACAATTCCATATAGATATAAGAAGAGTAGACAGAGAGGTTATGGTGGAGCCTACTGGATACTAAAAAATATCCAATAGAGATAGATCTACCTTTTACAGAGGTAGATCTTCACCTGGTGCTGAAAGGAGTACACGAAAGGCACCAGGCAAAACTCCTTAAGGAGAACGTTCCATAGGAGGGGAGCAGCAGCGGAAAAGACCCTCTTCCTACTAGCCAGTCTTATCTCTCTAAGGGATGGCTCATGCAAGAGGGCCCCCTGCATTAATCTCAAAGGCCAGGTAGGCATATATGGGTGCAGACGCTCCTTTAGATAGCCATGGCCTAAGCTTTTAGGACTTTATATGTCAAAACAAGCACCTGGTGCAATAAACCTATGATAGGCAACTAACATGTGTGGGTTATTCTACATCTGTTTTGGAGATGCTTTGGCATGTGTTACAATAGTGAAATAGCAATTTTCAATGCAATTGTCAGACCAAAGAGAATATGTATTACAAATGTTTATGTACCTGCACCAAAGTTAGTCACGCTGAGTTCAATCCAGTATTCAGAAGAATACAACTGTAGCCTTATGTTTACATGGAGTGTTGATGAATCCAATAGCATTTACTTCCAAGTAATTATGCTTAGGAACAGGATGTTAATGGATTACTATTTTTAGATAAACATTTTAAATGTTTATTCTCCAAATGCTACAGCAATTGTTTTATTATAGTGCAAGTAGTGCAATCCACATAGAGCAGAGCATTGCACTTAGATGCTGTAAGTCATTCTGTTTTAATAATAATAGTAACAAACCATGAAGAGAACCCATGATTTGTTGGGTTGTGAATGGTAGGTTGTTCACCATTGTTTATTATCTTAGCTGGGTTCATTGCTATTGAAGCTGCAACCCTAAAAAATGTACTAAGGCTGGGGGAGGCAGGTTTGAGACTTATGGAATCTACCCTGATTTTTACTACAACTTCAAGGTTCACCAACTAAAGTCAGGTGCAAAATAGTGGTCTAAGAAAGTGGACAAAAACCTGCACAATAAAGTTCCTGTGAGAACATACTTGGCCTAGCATTTGTTTTCAATAATTGACCATGAAAGCACCTTGTTAAAGTAAAATTTGTGAGGATGTTATTGTAGTTATATCCCATTTTTTCCTTTCAAGGACCTCAAGGTGGCTTATATAATTCTCCTCTTCCTTGCAATCTTCTCACAGAAAATCTGTGAGCTAGGTTGGCCTAGGAATCTGTGATTGGCCCAAAGTCAGGCATCGAGCTCCACGGCTGAGTGGGGACCAGAACCCAGATCGCCTGCGGCCCAATCTCGCGTGCTTTAACCACTACCCCACACTGTCTCCCATCCCTGTAATTTTTTTCCAGCACTCATCCTTGCAACATATCTGCAGATAAACATGAAATAAAAAGCAGAGGGTACCCTCCCGTCACTTAGGAAGCTAATTTAACAGAACAGTCCCTTGCATGGCTGCCAAAAGTTCAGTCCTTGACCCCTCATTGCGTTCAATGCGACTGGCTGCCGGGATTGCACAGGATGACCGAAGATTGCCGCCCACGACGTTTAAAAGCCAAGAAAGGGATTTCAATTTTTAAAAATGACTTCGCTTGAAGATGAGCCCCAGCAAACGGCTTCCCCTGCCAAACGCAACGAAGTCCTCCTATCACCTCGCCTCAGCCCTCCCGCTCCGCCCCTGGCGGAAGCTCGTCTCCCTCCGCGCATGACGCGTTTCCGGTGGGAAGTCACGGCGCAGGGTAGGCTGCCGTTCTGGGAGTCACGTGGGCCGGGAGGGCTTTTTGGAGCTCGAGGAGGGGCGACACCGCCTCCGAGAGTCGCTGCGCCGCTCGCGTCTCCATCGCCCGCGCTCCCCTCTCCCGCGCGCGTTGCCTGGTCCTCGCGACGGTGGCAGCAGATGAAGGAGCCGGCGGGAGGCCGCCTGGAGCCCCTGCCTCGCCGCCGCCTCCGCCTCCGCTCGGGCAAGATGGGAGCGAAATGAGCCCTGAGCCGGAGCCGCCGCCGCCGCCTCCTCCTCTTCCTCCTCCTCCTGCTGCAGCTCCGGCCCGGGAAGCGGAGGTGGTAGCCCTGACGGTGGCGGCGGTGGTGGAAGGCGAAGCGGCAGCAGCAGCGGCGAGTGGCGGTAAAAAGTGGGGCAGCCGCATCATGTTGGTGAGGAGAATCGGCCTCAAACCGGGTGGAGGCACTTCGGTGAGTGCCTCGGGAGGGCCTGGCCCCGCCCTGGGGAGCGGGTGGCGGTCTCCCGGGCAGGGGCAGCTCTCCTGGCCCCCCACTTTCCCTTCCTTCCCTCTTCCCTGGCAGCTTGCAAAGCTTCCGTCCCCCGCGCGTAGCCCGCCCCGTTTGCCCCGCGGGCAGGCGCGGGACTAGTCGGGGGGAGCTCCCTCGCTGCCCATCCCCGGGATTTTCCTGCTCCGTCTGGGCTCGGGGGGTGCGCGGCAACTTGATCGAGCCGCGTGGGGCCTTTGTGGAACTGGTCTCCTTGGCGGTGATGGAAGTGCGCGCCCTCCTTCAGAGGAGCCTTCTGGCTCGTGAGAGACTAGCCGGTTTTATCGGGGCATCAGGTTTTGTGTATTTTGATACATCTGAGGAAGTGGGATCAAGTGCCATGAAGTTTTGTGTGGACTGTCTATTCTGACACTCTTCTAGTAAATTGACACATCGTTGTTTATTCTCTCATTATGATTTCGTGTGCTTCAAAGCTTCACTGAGGCACAGGAAACGAAACTTAAGCTTGTGTGTTGAGGTTTATCATCACTGTATTTGTCAAGATGCCTGAAGAAAGCGGAAGGTCATGATCTCTTCTTGGTGATACCACGAAGGATGTGGAATAATCAAATCAAGTTGCAATAACCCAAGTTCAGGCAGATATCAGGAAAATTTCCTCACTGTCAGAGCAATACAGTGCAACCAATTGCCTGGAGTGGTGGTGGGCTCTCCCATAGTAGAGACATTCAAAAAGAAACTGGACAGCCAGCTGAGTGGGATGGTGTAACTTGGTGTCCTGCAACATAAGGGGTTGGACCAATGGCCTTCATGGCCCCTTCCAGCTCTGCTTTTCTATGATTGTATGAGAAGGTCCTTAAAAATTTACAAATGCCTTTTTATCTTCTACTTTATTTGCTGCTTAAAACTTAGCAGATTCTTTTTTTTTTTTTTTAGTGTATGCAGTCCTGCATATGTATTTTTGCATGAGGAAGCAAATTCCCTGGAGCTTGGGAGGGGGTGCTTATAAGTTACTAAGCATTGAATTATGTGTTTGATTGTTCTTAAGTCTTAATCAGCAAACATCTTGGAAGCCCAACTTGGAAGTTTGAGTAGAGATAGATTAGATGCTGTCTGTTTTGTAGCTGCTGTAGGCAAACAATGTATTGTTCCTTGCTCTTTCCTAAGCTTGTTTTCAGAATCTTCATTTCTTATCTTCATCTATGATGTTATTTCTAAACTTCCTTTGGGTTGCATTGTTTTAAGAATGTTTCATGCTTCCAATTACATGCAAGATGCCGTTAATTTCTGAATCTCCTCTCCTAACCTCTTCCATCTCTGCACTTTCTAAAAAAAGACAACAATTTTAGTATCTCACTTCATTTAAACATTTTAAGCTGAGAGCCAGTAAGGAACTACTTATCTTTAAATGGTTTGAAACATAGTTGGAGCATAGGCAGACTGCCTTTGGGAGTGGTAGGAATTCCCTTGAACTGTAGAAACTGAGCCCATGCCTTGCTAAATACCTTGCTTGTGAATCTCGAATGAAGAGAATCTTGGGATTAACTCAAACATTTCTTTAGTGTATAATCCATTAATGCAGTTCATGTTTGAGCCAGTCATGCAGTGTATTATGAAGTTCATGCTGGGTATATTGCAGGAGTGACCCTCCAAATAATTTGGCCTAAAATTCCTTCCTCCCCTAACCAACACAGTCAGTTGTGAGGGTTCATGGGAGTTCAGGCAAAAAGATCTAGAGGACCCACCCCTGCCTACTGTATAATCAAAGACCTATAAGGCACTGCTGGGTATAGGAACTAGAAACCCAGGTGACTGCCAAAAGTGCCTGTTTCAGGGAATCCATGCAGCAGCTCAGCTATTGCAAGCGGTGCATCTTCACTTGTAAAGCTGACATCATAATTTGTGGAAAAGCTTTATATCAGCAAAGCACAATTCAGTAAATGATATTCAGGGGAGTGACTTGTGATCAGATTCCCCCATGGACATCCAATCATTTAACAGGTATAAATAATTTGGTGTAGGGAAGCCTTTCTCAATCTAGTGCCTTCTAGATGTTTTGGTTTTCATCTCCTGGCATTCCTGACCATGGACCATGCTGCTAGGTCTCCCGGGAGTTGTAGATCAAAATACCTGAAAGCACCAGATTAAGAAAGACTGATTTAGGGCCTGCTTTGCTACATGATTGTCCTGTCAGCTGGACAGTCCCTAATGGCTCATGGCTTGAGGCAGGCCTATATTATGCAGCATGTTATACAGCCATATAGATGCACTTTTAAGTAGTTCCTGTGTTTGAATAATATTTCTACTGGCATCCCAAACCCTATTACTATTATAATATTTGCATAAAAATGGATGACGTCTTATTGAAGTGGGAAGGAATATATTGCACTATAGTCTACTGTCATCTGGTCATCACATGTTTTCTTGAAGATTGAGTCTGGCAAGCTGCTCATGTGAAATAAATTTTTGTTTGCCCTGAATGACTAACTACAAAGCAGTGCAGGTAGATATGGTTCCTTGGTTTATAGATTAAATTAAGAAGGTTGTAGTGGCAATGCAACTGGTAGGTCAGTTGTTCTCTTATGAAACTTATTATTTCACCAGTAACTGGAATTTGGAGGCAAAAATGTGAGTTATTAGCACATACATGGATATAGGTATCAATTTCTCCAAGCTGCTGTCATAGAAAAAAATTGGCTCCAAATAAGGTTTGTTAAATCATCAACTCCTGTTACTGCTTTCAAAGTAATTGGAAAAAAAAATCTGTTTGGCTATCATATGTGGAGAAAATGAAATTGAAAGTGAAATACTTGAGAGAAAAGAGTAAGTCATAGTTCAACATCTAACTGTAGAAATGATCACTGTGTATGGAAATTGGAAAATAATTGTCTCTGTTGCTAATCTAGTAAAAACATTTTGGATCAGGGATGGACAACAAGTGTCCTACAGGCTGCACGCACACCTGACCTTCTAAAATAGCTCTCACAGTCCTACTGATGCTGAAATTTGGTATCATGGAGGGAAAAGGGCTATTTTGCATTTTAAAAAGCATACTTTTTTCCCCAAATCATTTTTTTTTTCTGGTCACACCAAAGTTGGTGGTTACACATGATGGTAGTAGATCAGTGACTTCAGAGTGTCTGGGTGCTAGTTTCTGTTCTAGATTATAGGAGGAGCTGATCCCATGCTAAAAATGGCCAACACCAGGTTTTTCACAAGCGATTTTTATTACCCGGCAAATTGTTATAATTCTCAAAAGCATTAAGTGGAAAATCTCTTCATGAAAGTTAAACAACTGTGTGAATTTTTTTACAAACTTATTATTTCTTGTATCTATAATATTTTAAATAAGTTATGGGTATGGCAGGCTCATGCAAGCAAGGCCAACTTGGCTGTTATGCAGTTCCCAAGTTATGAATGTCCAAGTTATGAATAACCTGTAGTTGTGAATTAATTGCTATAAAGTCTTAATTTAAAAAAAAAAATATTGTGGAGAATAGTAATTGCCATAGAGAGAGGAAGTGAAAGCAGGGAAAGGGAGGGCTGCAAGGCATGGCTTCCTGCCCTGCCTATCCGGAGAGGGAAATCTCTCTGGCACTTCAGTGCTGCAAAGAGGAGGCAATGGTGAGTTTGGGTGGGGGAAAGTGGTTGAGATATTTGTGGTTTTTCTACTTTCATGAGGGTCCTGTGCCCCTAATCCTACAAACCTAGAGGACTGACTGTACGTGATTTGACTTAAAGATGAATTTCCATTTTCTCAAGAATGGAACTTGTTTGTAACTCGTCCATCATCACTTTATCCACCCTTAGTTTTAACTAATTCTTTTGCCTGGTTGAGCTCCACCTCTTCATAAGCCCAGAACATCAATCCTGCCCCACCTGTATCTTTTCTGTGTGACCTCATTCAGAGGAATAGAAACTGAAAGCCCAGAATTTTTAAGAAACAGGTTTTGATAGTTAGGCTGGAATTACTCATTTTCATGAGATGAAAAACTGAAATGAAGATCTATTTTGATGGTTAGGTAATTCACGATGAGTGAGTGTGACAGAGTTATAGGGTCATAATATACATGTTTAAACAAAGTCCTACAGCTGGAGAATGCTGGGAGCTGTTGTCTAAAAGTACATAAATTATGCTCTGGTCAGTTTTATGAGACTCTTTGTATAGTTTTACCATATGACTATTGGGATTTCGTTGTAATTGCCATTTCTAAATGAGAAATTTGAGTATGTGCTGACATTTTTCTGTAATATTTAGTTTTACCTGCCCTGATATTCCCCTTTTGCCCTGCATGCAGCATATTCAAAATATGTTGATGTGATTTTTGGACAGCTGAGTATTTCAATGGAGAGAAGAGAGCAAGAAAGCTCATTTCTGCTACCACACTCAATGTTATGTTTTGAGAGCTTTATTTTGGGAACAGCAGAGTAATATATTATTATTGCATTACATTTACACCTTGCATTCTTCCTCTCACAAGGGACACAAAGTGACTTAGAAAGTTCTCATCTTTTTCTTATCCTTACAACTGTGAGGTGAGTTAGGTTGAGAGTTCGTGACTGGCCCAAAGTCATCTAGTAAACTTCATGGCTGAGTCTGTATTTTCGGAGTCCAACATTCTAACCATTATTCTAGACAACAATGTGTTAATAGAAAGTAATCAACTTTTCCTGTCTTGGTCTGCATTGTTTCTTCAAGCCACCCATCCTTGCTACTTAGATTCGGAGCACCTTTGGGATTGTAATAGAGTTGACTTTGATAAAATTACTGTAGCTGCTCTGAGTCCACAGGAGAGAGTAGGGTATAAATAAAACTGAGTGTTTTATATTGCTCAATGATAGATTATTAAATTATACATTTCCTGCTCCTTTAAGTAACTTATAATTTGCAAAGAAAACCCTAACACCCTTTTCCTGTAACCCTTGTGATGCTTCTGTACCAGCTTGAATAAACTGAAAGCATAGTTAATTGAATAGATTGAATAATAGCATATAAAAATATCTGTCATTGGCACACATATCAAAGAAGCTCTTACTGGCACAAGTTTTAATGAGCTTTATATGCTGGAGCATTTAATTTTATCAAAAGAAAAACATAAGAATAAGATAAAATATAGGTGGTGTGTGATTTTGCTGTCAAGCATTTTGTCACTTTTGCTTGACTATAGAATTCTGTGTACTTAAAAGGGGATAATTATATGTATAAAGACAAAACATAATGATTTATCATTGTTGAATAAAAGTCGTGGCTGAAAGGAAACATTTCAGACGTTCAGTTTCATTTGCCAAACTCTATATTCATAGGCAAAATATCCTGTCTGGGAGCAATGGGAGTTTCAGTCCAGTATATAAGGGAGAGGGAGAGAGGACAGCTTGTTGGGGAAGGTTTCAGTAGATGACAAGAATGCTTAGAGCAGTATCTAATGTTGCAAAATGCTACTGTAAGCCAATGGTAGTGCAAAATCATTAGCGTGCGCTAGGCAAAGGGAGAAAGCTGTTTGCAAAATCCACTTCTGCAATTCGGTAGAAAATCACTATTTTCCTTTGTAAGGAAAGCAGCTCTTGGTTTATGCTAGTTTGTCATCCTTAGCACTTGCACTATCAGTGCATTGGATTTTGCTCTTAATTAGTATTTCTCCACAGAGTATACTTAACAACATACATTTAACTTATGAGGTATAGATGCAATACAATAACATCTCCAGGGAGTTTATACAGCGGTTCTCCCCCTCCCCCCACCATGTAATCCCCATGCCAACCCGCTTAGGTTAGTTTTGGCTTAGAAATTGTATTTGGTGTAGAGTCATCTACTCCTAGGCCAGCAGTAACCACTGCATCATGATGGCTCTCAGATCAATAGCTCTCATTAGTTTAATATATTATATATTTTTGGCACCATTCAGTGTAACATAAGCATTAAAGTAAATTATGTTGTGCTTGCATTAGTGACCTCTAGCATAATGCCAATAGTAGTAAGTGTAATGGTTTTTCTGGAGAATCCTGTTGTACAAGCTAACAAATTTGGTATTGTGCTAGTGGTAACTTATGCTAGCACAACATAATTTTTGTTCATGCTTATTGGATGCCATCACTTGGGAGAAAGGAAACTTGCTGAAAAAATTGAATAGTATATTCATTAGGGTAAAAGAGTAGACATTATAAGGAGCTGCTTCAAAACCTTGTCCAGGGCACACATCCTTGGAGTTTAATGTAAGTTAGGGTGCCATGCAGTTGTGCCTACCTGTAACCCTCTGAACTTGAAGGATTATGGGTGTCCAGGGGAAGCCTGGAAGAGTTCAAAGGTCAGGATTACCTTTTATTGTGCTTTTATTGTAGTAAGTGTTGTTCAGATTGCAATTTGAGTAATGTTCATCTCTCAGTTTAAGAGAACAGGGGATCACTGAATGTGTGAGCAAGTTTTCTGGAGGAATGAAACCCTGTATATTGATACAGCTTTCTCAATTCTCTTCTTGAGAATCTTGGGGGAATTTCTCACTATTTTCTTGGGGATTTGCTGAAGTCCAAAGAACTTTATAAAGTGGTTCATGAATTGTATTTTGGTGACCTAAGTTTGGGTGCTGTGCTTGAGTAAAAATTTTTGTAATTAATTTTAAAAATAGCTGCTTGCTCTAAACTTGTGGGCTTTTCTGATGCAGTAGAGCAGGGATGGGTGACTTGTGGCTCTCTAGGAAAATTGGCCCATGACATCCATCATTCCTTGCCATTGGCTATGCTGGATAGAGCTGATTGGATTTGTAGGTCATTTAATTTAAGGGATGGGAGGAAACAATGGTATTGAAATGGTATTGAAAACTTCGATACAGAAAGGGTACAATCCTATGCATATTTACATACAAAAAGTTCTACAGCTTCCAGCATCCCTTAAACACACGGCTGGGCAATGTTGAGCTCTGTTAGGGGATATTAAAATGAGGGACACAAAAGCTAGCTGCCAAATGAGAGATCACAATCTCAGGGTGGGAGGCAAAAAGGGGGAAAGTTTCTGCAAACCAAAATCTCTTCACAGTAGTGGCAGAAAGGGGGAGACAAGTCAGTTGTGCTGTGGGAGAACTGAGGGAGGCAAACGATTCATGGTGAACCTGATCGTCATTGTGGGTTTGCAGAACAATTCGACCTATTGCCTGGGTGGGTTGGCATGATGTGCAAATTCACCTAATATATTTGCAATTGGTATATATTCATTTTATGAATGAACTCATACAAATTCCTTTGTGGAGAAATTAAGCCACAGAAAATCACAGACCCCTATCACTCCTTGTAGGGGAGAGGCTTATAAAGGCTTATAAATAATATTGAGAGAGAAATAGAGAATTGATATGCCACTGCTAGATTAATTGATATGCAATAGTCTGGCTTAATATGAATGCTTAACGCTGATTGATTTGACAAAAATCTCACTGGCTACATGTTTAAATATAAAGTGCTTTCTTCTGCCATTTATACTGTTGTTTACAGAATCAAGACTTGTGCTATATTAATGGTATTTCTTTTTTAACAGCAAGGTATTGGTAGACCAAGCGTGTACCATGCAGTTATTGTCATCTTCCTTGAATTTTTCGCTTGGGGACTGCTCACAACACCAATGCTCACAGTAAGTATGTTAACCTAGTCAATGCCAGCAGTGCCATGCTGATTACTACTTTCAGAATTATGTATGCTTGCAGTTTGTATTGAACTACAAAATTTTTTTGGAAATCTGATCTTTTCCATTCAGTGAGAATCTTTTAGCTATTGAATGAAGCTAAACTAACTCCAGTATTGCATTAATGCAACTGTTCTTTATAGTACTCATTGCTACATAGTAGAATAAAATATGTATGTGTGAAATGTCTTAGGTATTATGTAAAATAGCTTCCCTTGCCTTGCAGTCAAGGACAAAGTATAATAAATGCAAGCGTGTGTAAAACTAAAGGTCTTCTCTGTGCGTGTAGCTGAATCCAACTTTCACTTGGTTCCTCCCCAGACTGCCTTCTTTAACAGCCAATGCACCTGGCAGAATCAAAGTCAGAGGTGAGCCAGTGAGGCAAGAAATACAAGGCCAGCAATACAAGCCTATTTTAGTTTAAAGGTTTTGCTGCCGATATCAAAGTCTTAAGAGAGTCTTTTCAGCCTTTGAGAAGGGGGAAAAACTGCAAAAAGCAGGAAAACACCAAAGTGTGATCATGTAGGGACTAGAGTAGGCTGGATTTGGACCTGATGTCAACACCCATGAGGTAAATGTTATGTTAGAATTACTGCTTGATTTTCTTTTGGTTCCTTTTAGCGTTGTGTTAATTGCATTATCATTTAAGTCATCATTTTAAAATTATAACACACCTTGAGATCACCGATAGAATGATAATACAGTAAATAGACACTGTAGTTAACAGTGCAGGAAACGTTAACAAAAGCTTTTCTAAAGCAAATTTGACACATCTAATTTTCACTGTTAAAACTTAGAGGAGACCACTTGGAACTAGTCTGTGCTTATTTGCAAAAGTTCTTTGGAAGTAGGGGTATGTAGGTTTTTGACTGTGTTACTTAGTAGTGTGTTTGAACCAGTTTTTAATAGGATCAAATTAAACCTTCAATATGGAAACCAAGAAAGAGTTGATTTTAAAGTAGGGCCCAATATAATTTTTTCTGTAACTTCAGTGTTGGTAGTTTCATTACCCTGAAATGGGGTGGAGGGCTCAGACATCACATTGCAGATGCTGGTGCAGTGTTAATTTATTCTTTCACTGGGTGTGGCAGTTGAGGCATCTATGTAAACTCGTAGCTCCATTTTGATGGAGAAAGGTACATTTTGTAGGATTTTAAATATGAACCCTACATTTTTGTTGATTATAATAAATTATGCTTTTATTTTCCCAGAGCAAGACTAACATCTAAAACAGGAAATATAGAGAAAAATATTTATATATTGTAGGTTTTAATATTGCTTATTGAAGTACTACTAAACATTTGGAAGACTGTGCATATTTCAACCAAAGTTCAGGTCTTATCTTCAAGCACCCACATATGGTCATAATTTATGGAAAAATCTGGAATGGGAGATGTTTTGGGTATAAAGAACAACATGCACAGAATACAACATGTAGTGCAATGGAAGTTCACTTGTAGCCTTTGAAGTGTAAGGAAAATTCCTTCATTTTTCACATTCTAGTGACTTTCACTTGGGCTCTTGTTTTCTAGAAAATTTGAAGGACAAGACTGATACATGTTTAATTAAAGCTGTAGGAGCTGCAGATCACCTTGTACTCATCAGAGTCCCCCCCCCCATATCACTTACACTCACTGCTTCTCCGAAAAATTGTCTGAATTTTGGGAATGACTGTGTCAGATGGCATTCAGAGCTCTTCTCGGAATGGGAGCATGCTGTGCATGTGCAGATTCTCCCTGTGATGCTTTTCATTTTGTCCTGTGGTGCTTAGAGGTAGTAATCCCAGTAGTAAAATAAATTGACGTAAAACGAATTCTCAAAGTCTTCCCATGTCCCAGCATCCTCACTGTCACCCACATCTATTATAAGTAGGATAGATGTGATGTTTCTGCACTTGAATGTGTAGGCAGAACTTAAGTTGCTGTTGGAAAATGCATGGTACCTTTGTAAGAACATATTAATAAGCTCAGCCTTGTTTGGTTTTTTCCTGAGAGCCTGCTGCATGTAATTTTTTCCAATGGATCATTTGGTTTGTTTTTTTAAAATATGGGGAAAATATATTTAAGTATTTAAAGAAACAGCTCCTTTGTATCCTTGTGGAATGGAAAAATACTATTATGTTGAAATTGTATAGCTTCTAAAATCATAAGCCAGCTTGTGCAAATATTGAAATGATACTCTGCTTTGTGGTCTTGGATGTTTAGTTCAGATGAGGTTTGGCTGATCTCTCTATATAGGTGTGTGTCAGTTTTGTAATAGAAATAATACCATCATGAATGACTCAGTCCTCACTCTGGGTCAGATCTAAACTTGTGCTTGATAGAGCAAGGAGGCTGGGTGGCAATTTTGTCAGATTCTTCCTTCATCCCCTTGTGCCACATCCCAAGCAGTTCTGGGGGCTTGGGGGGTCCCCTGGAACAGCCTGGGGATAGCACTGGTGGCTGCAAGGGGAATGAGGAGTCTGAGAAAAATGCTGCTGCAACTTCTTTCAGCAGAAAACCTCTGCTGGATGCCAGTTCCTTCTGGAAGCATAAAGAGCCCTGGATCCAACTGTCTATATTTAGTTTTTGCCATTGTTAAATATATATGTGCTTCAATTGAAACTTACTCTGAATAATAAATCTCTCTTTTTAGGTCTTACGTGAAACATTTCCTCAGCATACATTTCTAATGAATGGTCTCATTCAAGGAGTGAAGGTAAGAATGTTTTAAAGGGTTTGCGAAATGTCACCTCTCTTTCACATTAATGGTTCAGGAGCCTAATGGGTAGAGTTGTACCTTCTGAACTTACATTGCTACCTGGTGTTCATCACCAGAAACAAAATGAAATTGGATTTGTCATGTACAATTCCGTTTGTTAATTTAAAAAAATAACAGGTGGGCAGTATCCAGTGGGAACCAGTTCTGAAGTGTGCACACAAGAGTAGAATCCAATGCAAGCTACATTTGTGGAAGTGTGGCTGTGCATAATGCTTGTGCAGAGAGTTGCACAAGTAGCTGCTGTCACAAGTATACTGAGTAAACACTTGAACATTGGCGAGATTCTGTTACCATTATTTAAGTTTGCGGAATTACCATAAGGGATGTTTTAAGTTAGGAAGGCCACTGTTCTTTCTGTACATTCCCCCATGAGTTCAGTTGGACTACTTGTGAGAAACAGAACAGTAAGCTCCCGCTCAGGGCTGGGCAAACTGCTTATGTCAATAAACATATAGGGACCAGTTCAGTTTGAATGGATAAGTAACTTGGTTATGAAGCAGGAAGCAAGAATCACCATTAAGAATTAGTTAGATTCATTGAGCTGAACTACATTACTCTGATATTGCTTATGAGCAATTGTTGGCGTGGAATAACTGATAGGGGTGGTGTAAGGGAGAGGTAAAGAAGCAGCAGTGCTTGTTGCAGTGTAGTCATCGGAATGGAATGCTATCTGTGTTTATGAAATCATTTCTGTGGCGTGTTAATTAGGATTTTAAAGGGATTCTGAAATATACCCCTCCCTGAAGGATTCAGGATGCCATGTGTTTCTTCTTGCTTTGTATGTCCTCAGAAATATAGTCATAAAAAACAAGAAGAAATACAATTACTCTAATTCTTTCATTAACTAGTATGTCATATATTATGGAAGAATAAGGATAAAAAGTGAAAACTGGAGACTAGGATTTGTTTGATAATCTAATCTTGATGATATAATACAAATAATGATTGTTTCAAGAGACCCTGGAGCTGTGTGAGAGGGTGATTTCCCCTGTGTCCCCTGAATATCTGCTCTGGAGGAGTTGAGGATCCTCCAGAATAGTTGGGGAGAAGGTGTAGGAGGCTTTGGAGAAGGAATTGGAGAAATTCTCTGCTGCTCCTCTTGTTGGATTACAGTTACTTTCCTTACGTGGAAGAGAGACTTATGTTTATGGAAGGGCTGTTCTGGATCAAAGCCACTATGTGTGTGAATTGTAAAATTAAAGGTATGTTGAGGAACTTTGAAATTGAGGATGTATCTGATGGAAATATACAGAAAACTTTCAGAAGATGGCAGGTGTAACTTATGGGAATACACTTGACATGTTGCCAAGGAAATGAACTTTTGTGTAGTAATAAGTGCAGGACTGAAGAAGAAAGGTACAATTGTGAGCATTGTTTTTTCTCTCAAGCTAGTTGAATTCGCCGTCCCTGCATGTTTGAGATCATGTTTAAAAGCCTCTTTTGTTGTTGATCCCCTGACTACTGTGAAAAGATCGCTGGAAAGCTACGCAATCAAAATGAAACAATCAGCACAACTGTGTGTGCAAATGTCATTTTAATCCTACAGGAACCAATAGTAGTTTTAGTGATTCCATCATAGTCTTGCAACCCAGAAGTCCAGATGTGTGATAATATTGAGAAACTGTATTAATCTGGGCCCAACGTTTGTGGAGAAGTTGAGTCTCCAAATATGTAAGTGAAATGAAGAGAGTAGGTTCTTGTGTGCTAGCCGCTTCTTTCCATGGCAACATACCTAATTCACAGTGATGCAAAATCATGGCACAAGAAGAGCCATGTTGGATCAGGCCGAGGGCCCTTCTACTCTAGCATAATGTTCACAGAGTGGCCACCAGCTGCTCATGGGAAATTCATAGGCAAGACCAGACTCTACCAGCACCCTCCCAGCCATGCTCCTAGCAACTGGTGCACTTTGGCGTACTGCCTCTATCATAAATGAGAAATTATAAATCTCTGGTTTAGACTGGCTGATATCTACTAGGCATAGCTTCCATTGTACTTTACTTTTGCAGTCTCAATTGTAGTGTTGTGTTGTTTTCTTGGGAGTTGTCATTTAGAAAACATTTTTTCTAGATCGTGTGTTAGACCCCTGACAAGGCTGCAGTGATTCTGTCAGTTTTCCAGAGCCATCACTACAGATGATATGACTCAGGTAGCAGCTGGACTGAACTAAGATTTAGATTCTTCTGTCTAGTGCTGGGTGCTGTTCTGTCTGTGCCGGCCAAATGGGCTCAGAGCTCCTCTAGTTAGCCAACCCCTGCTAACTAGTAAGTGACAAGGATTCACTCGATCCCTTCCCTTCCTTTTTGCAAATGCAGAGTTCTGGTGTGCCCTGCAAAACCGTCTTCTAAGACAGCCATCTCCAACTTCTTTCCCTCGAAATGTGTTGGCTGTGGCAGCTGGGTGTTTTAGTTGAGGGCACCAGGAAAGGAGAAGTGGCTGCTGAGGAAGTGCTTGCTTTAGGAACACTGAGTACATTAAAAGTTGAAAGCATTTCGTATCTTTGAAGTATTTCAAAAATACTTCTAGAAATATTAATCTGTCATAAATCTTTGGCTATTGGGTGGTACAGATATGAAATGAAAGAATCAAAAGGATCAACAAGTAGTCTGTGAATGGAGAAGGCATGTTTGCTCTTACAGCTCATGACATTTTAGTATTTTAAGCAGCTATTATGCCAGATGGTTGCGTCCTGATGGTACTTAAAGAAAGATAATGATGCTAGTTTTTCCATTTATCTTCCATCTCCTTGGTGGAAGAATTAGATGAAGTGTAGGTTTGTAAATATTGTTGTGTGAATTTGTAATTATTATAGTATTTTCAATGGGTATAAAGTATATTTCTGTATACATGGAGAAAATCCAGATTCAGTTGTTCAGAAAAAACTGCAGAATAATCGAAGCCAGAGTGCTCAGATGTGGTAGAATGGTTTGGCAAAACATCTAGGTGTTGGAAGACAAAGAGAGTGAACGAACTGAGAAAAGCTCAGTGGGTTGGGTCCAGACTTACTATGAACAGAGTTCTGATCATGGGACTCTCCCACTGGAGAAATTGATGGAGGTGATTTTTGCTTTGAGGAGTGCTTTGCTGTAGCATGAAATAATATGCTAGGAGCTATAGAAGGGAGGATGAAAATTGCTTCCTTCCCCTTTCTTTTCCAGGAGCCTCTGCTAGATCACTCACTTTTCAAGTTGCAGGGCAGGTCTGGATCCAACCTATTATAAAGGCAGTATGAGGCAGATTATGTGCTTCACAGCATTTCAGTTTTTTAAGTAAGCTGGGATTTCTGCCTTTTCAGACTACTTGAGATCAGCCCAACCTACCTGACAGGGTTGTTGTGGGGATAAGATAAGAGCAGCAGAAGGAGAATGATGTAAGCAGCATTGAATTCTTCAAAAGAAAAAAGTTGGGATATAAATTGCTTTAATATATTTAGCAAATTGTAACAGGACTTTAGATTCTGGCTTTATGTGTTTTAAAGTAGTCTCAGTGAAATCTTGTTTGTTTGCGAGTAAGAGTCTTTGGGATTGAGCTGTTGGTAGAAGCATGTGCCCAGGAAGTAAACCTGTCAAGGAGCCCAAAACTGTTGAATAAATGTAAAGAAGTGATACATAAATAGCTATCAACTGGCATATTCAAAGTTCCTAAATACTAGCATGTCAGAGAATGGTATTGAACTTCTCAACTGTATTTGCTAGCTTCTTATGCTAAAGAAATAATTCATGTTGACCTTCTTCAAATCCATTAGTGCACTAGCAGTTAGAGGAACCTTGAGACTGGCTTTATGCTACTTAACTAAGAATTTCGTTTCCTGCCAGACAGTTACAATAATCTGGTATTGCAGCAATGCGGAACAGATTTGGCAGACTTCATACTTTATATGTCTGACAATTTCTCTCCAGTTCCTTGTGCTCCAAAATGTAAGCAAATAAATGGCTGCTTTGTCTCCAGGGAGAATTTAGGAGGTTGTTCTCAGCAGAATATATTTTTCATGTTGACACTCACCAGTTTTGCACTAGAGGGAAATAGTTCATCCTCCATTTTAAATAGAATAAACACCATAATAACTATAGCTGTATTTGTCTGGAATGAGAAATTGAGAGAAAAGTTGAAAAACATGATGAACCGGTAAAAGTAGATCTGGTGATAATCTATTAATGTAGAAACTGCAGTGACCTAATATAGTAGAGTGGCATACTTAAAAGAATCTGATATGAGTGTTTAATTTTTAGGGCTGCAAAATGAAGGGTTAGGGTTTAAATCAGATTAACTTTTAAAAAAATCTTTATTCAAATAAACTAAGCTTGCATAAAGTTCAGGGTTCTTCTTTTCCAATTCTGTTGAGCATATCTGTTTATAGTGTTCTGTACCTCAACTTTATACATCTTTGCTTTAATTCTTACATAGACTGGGATCCAAAGAAATGTTTATGGAGAGGTCAGGTATGAGGCAGTCCAGCAGAAGTTTTGACATAGATTACCTAACAGGCTGTACTGTATCATACTGCTTTTGAAACACCTTTTGGTTTTAAAAGCAGTTCACCACATAGCACCAGAACTGCTGTTGAAGAAGAATAAATCTAAAGCTGGCTTGAGCCTGTTGTGATACATTGTTCTTTGGATAAATTGTTCTTTTGTCCACTTTACCAATATGTTCAATATTCTTAAGTATCAACGGTTAAGACACACAAAGGGTCTAATTAAAAAAAAAAAAAGCTTTTCTTGGGTTAAAATTTTCCAGTATGATATTTTGCTTCTGAATTGTATCTTGAAATCTGTTGCCTTTCTCAAATTTGTAGATTGGTTTACAAATTTAGATTTAGCTCATGATACTCTCAAAGTATCATGAGCTGGAACATCACAGCTAGTTTGTAAATTCTGTTCCAGGAATGTGCATGTAAGAAATAGATTACTTTAAAACACTAAGTGTACTCTATTTTTTGTCTTATTATTGAATTTACAAGGATGAGAATAAATGTGACAATTCTTTGTGATTTATTTCTAGACTTAAGGTAGGTTGACCTTTCCCATATTAATTGACTCATCAGTTCAGTTACCCTTGTCCAGGTGCCCCTCTTCAGTGGTGAGGCAACCATGACTGTCTACTGAAGGAGGGTGTCTTTTATTATCATGTTTAAATTATGAAGGCCTCCTCAAAGTTAATCTGCCTGGTGTAAATAGCCTTTTAGGCATCAAACATAGGATGTCCTATTGCTCCAGGTTTTCAGTAGCGTATGGTAGCTTTTAGGATAAATGCCCGCCCCCCCTTTAATTCCCTAAATTGAATTAACTTCTGTCTTATGGATTTTTGCTTACAGGCTCATTATTTGTTTTTAAAAAGAGTGTAGAGTACTTTATTTTCCTTCTCCTGTTAGAAAACAGATGTGGGGGATCAAGCTGGTATTTACTCTTGGAGCCTAGAATAGTTCTTTGAGTTTGTGTGCCAAATTTCATTCCAATTTCTCAGTGTTTTATATGAAAGCCCTTTGGGTAGTGATGTGGGATAAAAATCCAATATATAAATAAAATAGGGATGAATTGGCAAGATGGCAAGTGCAAGAGTTGAAGGAAGGGAAGGAAGGAGTAATTGGAGAAGTAAATACATTCAGAGGTGGAGGAAGAAGAAGAGGATAGAAGAGCAAATTCATTTTAAAGGAGGGAGTACCACTGTAGAACCCTTCATTCAAGTCATTGCTTGTCCTAGAAGCTGAGGAAGAACCCCTCTATCCTCTCCTGGGAGAAAATCTCTTACTATAATGCTTTTGTCTTACTTGTTCACGGAGAAAGTGGTACCTTTCTAGTGCACACCAAGAGCTAGAAGTCTTAAGAGAAGAGGTGGTAATGATTTTTGTATGCCACAAAACTCTACTTTTAGGCTGTGGATACCTGGGTTGGCCTGAAAAGGAGGAAGATGGAATCCTGCACTTCCTGCTTTGGCCTTCCAGCTTCACTGCACAACCACCCCAAAATTCCCATACTTTCCCTATGGACTATAGCCTCCCCCTTGATAGCCTTGATCTGCAGTTCTGAGGTGGGTTTCCCCCTTTCCTCTTTTAAAAGAATTTGCATGTTTTCAGCACTTCTCAGGCACTGCAGCCCCCACAAAGATGTTTATTAGATGAAAATAAACAGTTTTGTCATGATTCGCCCTTTGTGTATTTTTGTGTAATCTCTCTTTTTCCAAATGTAAACAGAGATGAACACATCACTCAACCAATGGGAATAAAGTGAGCAATGATGCCCCTTTCGCTAGGGTGCTGAGGGCAGTAGAGATCAAAGGCTAGAAGTGGATACTTCTACAGTTCTTCTTGCCAGGGTATTCTGTGGTCTTTCCCTGTCAATTCATGACTAGAGAAGCTAGTGTGGAACATGGAAACCTACAAACAGACCATTGATTCTCTCTGTGATTTCAGAAAATGAATCTGAACAGGATGATGGTACCACTGTGCCATGACTTTTCATGTGTGAACCCGCCCACTCCCTTAAGGGGACATGGCATTGCAGGCATTGCTCAGTGATGTAACTGACCATGTCCTTTTAAAGCCAGCATTCTCATATGGACCTTTCAGTAGATGTGATGGAAGAATATGTTTTCAGCTTGTTCTTCCTGGGAGAGCTGCACATAAGCACATAAAATTAGCATTGGGTATTTTTTAGCTTTAGCGTTGCTTACTACTTGCAAATCAAGTAGGCTAAATTGATCCAAGTCTTATTTAGAATGTTTTTCCCCCCAGAAAATTTTAAGATTCTGAATTTTCCAGGAAATTCATGTCACTGATGTCTTGTGAGCAATGGCAGCTGAAATGTTCTGTATAACCCCCCACCCCTGCCACTGTATACCACATACAGTCCTGCATTTAGGTCTATGTGAAGTAGCCAGTCAAATGGGGCACTGTATGAAGACAACACAGGACTCTTTAAGTTAGTAGCTTGGGAGTATTACATTCATACTGCTAAATTCAATGGTGTCTGAATCCAGATTCATCTGCCAGAGTTTATGGTCTCATTATGGAGGTAGCATAAAGGGCAAAAATTCCAGAACTGGACCATTAGCTGTCAGGGAGAGGGCTTCTCATTAACAGAACCCCCAGCATGGACTGCTCTGCCTAAACAGTCTTACTTACCACCTATGTTTGATGTTTTGGCATCAGGTAAAGTCTGTATTTTCCCAAATGGTCTAACATTGACCGGGTTCTCAATGGTTTCTTTTTTCAAAAAGGAATATTTGGCAGAGCAGCATGGAGCCAACTAGGCTACCAGCAGTGCTTAACCCCTCCCCACAGTGGTGTATCACTTGCTCATTCCCTTTTAGCAAACTGCTTGGATATATATATATATATATATATATATAATATATATAATATATATATA